CAGGACCAGATGGAACCCCAGCAGAAGCATTGAAAATGGACCCAGAGACAACAGCGGACTTGATGACGCCACTACTGGAGAAGGTGTGGAAAGAAGGCAAACGCCTATTAGACAAAAATACTACGATATGACCAACGACTCTGTCAAAATATGAAAATGCAATGTAACAGAAAATGATGTTCGTAAATGTTTCCCCGTTAATAGGTTCAGTGATATACCATTCGATGGAAGAAACCTTCCCTAGCAGATTTCTCTTTTTAAGCAATGTCAGCTTGGAAGACGTTATCTATCAGTCAGCAGAACCAAAACCTGGCAGCCTGCTTAAATCACTAGTGGACTACCTGGCTTTTCTATCCATCAAAATGTGTATCTTTTCTACGCTCTTTCATTTTGGTTTAATTATCCAGTTACATGTGTGAACTGCGATTTATACTCACGTTCATTATCAATTAGGATTCAACCTACCGCTATGGATTTTTCGAAAAAGCGGAGAAAAATCTAAGCAGGTTATTAGAGTGTGTTTTGGACAGAATACTACTGCTTCAGATAATACATATTATCGATTCTTAATTTCACTGATAATTCTACACCTGGACTATACACTGTAATAGAACAAGCTGGGAATTCTGCAATATGTATTAAAGCATTTTTCAGTATAAATTTATTATTATTCAATTGATTAAAATTTAGAAAATGAATTATTTTTACAGTTACAATCGAGTATATTCTACGAAACACTTGTATTACTATATTTAGCCCAAGTGTCATGGATTACTTCGTAAACGTGAATCTTTTCGCCTTCTTCAGCTTATTCACATAAGTTAGAGAACCATTGGAAAACGACCACGGAGTACGAGGGCTTTTCATAGTACGCACCCATCACCAAGCTTTGAACCCAGGACCTTCTGGTTACAAGGCGAGCTCGTAGACCATTGAGTCACTGGGACCCAATCCAATGATCCTTTATTTCTAACTTCTGACAATTCATGACATAGCGCTACCACTTCGCAATGTCTTCTTCGATGAGTTACTGCCTCACCTTCAACCTGTCAGCTCATGATGAAATCCTCCAACCAATCAAACTAAATCCCTACAAAAACCAGTGCTTGAAGATTATTCACATAAATTATGAATTGAAAAATTTAGGCTACTCCGCTACAAACTTTCACCAACAGCTGTCTTCGCTCTATACTCAAAAGATCAGATAGCCGGCCAGAAAAGATAAGCAAGTAACAAGAAACTCTGTCAACAAACCAATCATCAAGTTATTGCCCAAAATATATATGTGGAAGAAAACCGGGATGCATTAGACACATGCCAAGGAGGCAGTTGAGATAATATCGTGCACCAAGCTGTCAAACGGAATCTTAATGAGAAAATACGAGTTGGACGTCAGTGCATAGGTGACGCGGAGGAGACCACATGAAAAAGGAATAAAAGCTTATAGGTAGCCGTGAAGCCATCTGAAAACAACTGCTGAAATCAAAGCGTATTGTAGGTGTGCTTTTGAAGCCCTAGGTTTCACTCAGAACCTAAAAGATTATTAGTAATACTTATGCAATCTTTGGAAATATTACTATCAGAAATATCAGAAATATCAATCCAATAGAATCGATGTCGGTATACCGATCCATTACCTAAAAGAACTATTACTACGATGCACCTTCAACATATACTTTAGTTTCAACAACGAAATATACAGGCAAGCAGATGGAGTAGCAATAGGTTCTCCCCCAGAACCCCTACCTCCTGACTGCTTTATGGTTAGCCTGGAAAACAACTCCTTATCATCAACTGTCGATGACCGCCATCTCTACAAGAGATACATCGATGATACTTCATTATTTGTGATGATAATTGTGATCTAAAATACCTACTTCAAATCTTCAATAACGGCCACCCAAACATCGATTTCACCCTGAAGTTGAGTCCAACTCAATGTTTCATTTCCTCAACGTTCAACTACGAAGGAATGCAGATAACTCGCTAAGAAGATCCATCTACAAAAAGCCCACATGGAACGGACAGTTTATTAACTTTCAAAGTTGTGTGCCTCTAAGCAGAAAGAAAAACCTAATATACTCTCTTTCCTCGAGGATCCGGAAGATTTTCACTGAAGAGTCAATCGATGAAGAATTACAAAATCTCTGAGAGACCCTGATACAAAATGGATTCCCACCCAGGTTCATAGACAAAAATCTAAAACCAAGGAAAACACTTGAAAAAGTTCAATTCACCCGCAAAAAGATACTGATATCAAACCTCGAATTTAAAAGTGTCACCGAAGCAGAAATTCTCTGCAGACGGCTTTTGAAGTCTCTCAGTAAGACATACTTCGCCGACTGCCTTTGAATAACATTCTCCGGCAAGAAAATACTCACCCAATACGTGAAAGACAAGCTGTTGCATCGGGCCATTTCAACATGTATATCAGAAATATCCCTATTATTTCAGTGCAGTCTCCTGATATACTGCACTGAATTGAAACAATCAATTATATATTTTGATGTTAATAATTTTGGGCTCGAACTAATGTGAACCTGTCAATCATCATGCTGTCATAAAGTTAACTTAACACACATCTAAATACTTAGCTATTCTTCGTGTATATTAGAAGCTTCTTCCTAAAATTGACTGAACATTACTCACATAAATATTATATTCACTGAAATCAATTTACATTTGACTGTTTTTGACTAGTATAGTAGAAGGTGTGTATAACTCAGATGTATCTTTACCGTGTTCTTACATCTGCTTAGCTACAGTGTTTATTTCAGAAAGACAATGAAAGCTACACAATTTTAACCATCTATTATTATTATTGTTCCCTTGGGTTCCTAGTGGAAAATAGGGCTTCAACTGCACGCCTCCACTTGCTTCTGTCTTCTGCTGCACTTTTCACTTGCATCCATGTTAGTCCATACTGTTTCAGTTCCTGTTCACACCATCTCCTCCATGTCACCCTTGGACGTCCCACTCGCCGCTTCCCTTTTGGGTTCCACTCGAGCGTTGGCCTGACGGGCGATGTCACCCAACGGCCTACTCAGCGAGTGTCCAATCCATCTCCACTTTCTCCTGCATATATTTGTTGGGTGATTGGTTCTTGTTTTGTTTGTTCCCATAGTTTCTCGTTGGTGATTCTTTCCGGCCATCTGATCTTCAGTATAGAGCGAAGACAGTTGTTGATAAAGGTCTGCAACAGGCTGTTGGAAATATTCTATGTGACCCGCTGCCAAGTTTCTGATCCGTATAGAAGAACTGACTGACTTGACGTTTGTATTGAAAATCCGAATTTTGTTGTTGATGCTGAGTAAAGAAGATTTGAAGACGATTTCCAGATTGGTTTCAGGTTGATGAATGTGTTTCTCGCCTTCCCGATTCTCGATTTGACATCCTCGTCCGTTCCGACTGCCTGTAGTTTAGACAATGCTCCCTAGATAAGTGAATGGAGTAACCTCTTTCAAATCCCTCCCGTTGATGGTGATTGGCACTGGATATTGCTGCTATTGTTGTTGGTTGGTTATTTTCATAACCTCCGTCTTGTCTATGTTCACCTGGAGTCCTGTCTTTGCTGCTTCTTCGACCAGTTTGTCGGTTTTCGCTTGTAAGTTTTCAAACATAAATCAACTGCGAAATCCAGGTCCTCTAGGTTCTTCACGTCGATCCAGGATATCATTGTCTTCTCGTTTCCCGCTGATTTTAACCATCTGGCTCAGAGAAAATAAAACAATATTTAAAACTTTTTCTTAATGTTCATGTTCCTCTAGGCTCTTTGTATTTTACTTCGATGGCTTTTTTGAACGTCTAATTCGTAAATCCCTTTAAAATAAATGGCTATACTGATTTAATGACTAATAAAATGCATCGCCTGTTGAAATCGAAAGCTTGCTAACTGTGTCTTACTTAATTTTGAAGAGTTAACTCATGGAAATTTGATTTTTCTTCTTCTATTTTGATCAGAGATCCAAATCAATTGGAGATCCACTGAAAACCACAGAGCATTGAACAGCTGTCTTTTCCCACTAGGGATTGAACCTAAGATCTTCAGGTTACAAGATTAAACTCGTCGGCTGTTGACTCCCTGGATCGGAATCCAATGGCTCATGTATTCTAACTTTTATCAATTCACTATTTTAGTGTAACTGCTAGCCTATATCATCACTGAGTACTTGTTGTCATACTTGACCTGGTGAACCGTGTTAGTCATGACTTTGTCCTATAGTCAGTTACTAGTAGGCATCAGAATAACTTTCAAGAACTAGTTTTTGTAGGGATTTGATCTGTTTTAAGATTTTGACCAAGAATTGATGTTAGTTAGAGAACCACTGAAAACCACCACAGAGTACTGGACAGCTATTTCATACCACTAGTTTAAGAATCATAGCCAGTACGCACCCACCACCAAGGTTCGAACCCATGACCTTCCGGTTACAAGGAAGCAAGCTGGTATGCCATTCAGCCACTGAGATCCGATTCAGTGGCCATTCCATGAATTCTAACTTCTAACAATTCGTGATTTAGCGCGACCACCAACCACTGTCATCGGCGGGAACTCCGCCCTTACACTTGACTGGATGGACCTCACTAGTCACGAATTGGAAGAAGTTAGAATTCATGGAATGGCCATAGAATCGGGTCCCAGTAGCTGAATGGTATATGAGCTTGTCTTGTAACCGGAAGTTCCTGGTTTCAAACCCTTGTGGTGTGTGCGTACTGGCGATGATTCCCAAACTAGTGGGATGAAACAGCTGTCTAATACTCCTTGGTTGGTTTTCAATGGTTCTCTAACTGATATCAATCCGTGGTCAAACTCGTAAAGAAAACAAGTCTAATCCTTACAAACCAAACTTTTGAAAGTTAGTCAGAGAATTATTGGAAATCAGGAAGCACTGATTTATTCCACCCCCCCCCCCCTCCAAGCAAAAAAACAACTAAAAAAAAGCAAAACTTCGATATGTATCACAATTATCTTTTGTTTGTTTGTTTCGCTTGTTTTTTTTACAAAGAACAACAGTCATATTCATGATAATAATAATAATAAAAAATAGTTTGATTTCATGTACAATGTGCATTTTTCTCATCTCGTTATTTGGTGTTGTTATTGTTGTTGTCATTTTAAATGTTTACTTTACTTTACTCACTTTTATTGTATTATTATTATTATTATTATAATATGTGCAAAAAGACGGAAATGAGAAAAAACAAACATTAGAATATATATATATATAGTTAAGTTATGTATGTATAATCTGAGAGGAAAACAGCATACATCAAAATTCCCCACTTATTTTATTATATATTACCCATGAATAAAAGGAATTTATCACAAAGCTCTGTATGCCCAAAGAAGATTCCCATTAAAATGCATATGTATGTGTATATCTGATTTGATTTGATTTGATCTGATCTGATCTGATTCGATGACTTTTTTTCTAGAAAGACTACTTACAAAAACCCACACACACACACATAGAAACACCGCAGTTCTGTAGGATATGATGTCTTCAAGATGTATTCAACAGCTGTGTAGAAAAGCTATGTAAAACAATAATTACTCTTATTATCATTATCATTAATTATTATTATTATGCACTCATTGAATACTATCACATTACAATTTGTATATGCAATAAAAAATACACAAGTGAATAATCCTATTTGATTTTTATGCAATATCTACAGAATCTGGATTACTCGACACTTCTTCTAGACTTTGAAGATATTCTGTGGATGGCGTAGCTGTATCATTATTATTAGTAGTAGTAGTATTATCACCGTTATTATTGTTGCTATTTGTCTTCTTAGTACATGCGTTGCCTTCATTGTCAGCAGTGCCTTCATTATCATCGTCATTACAATTCCTCGTTGGATAATCTGCCTCTGATTTACTATGAAAACGTTTACTTTTACTAAATTTAAATTCAGTGATCGATTTTTTCTTACAGTGTAATAAGCGTAAAGGCATAGATGTTGATGACTGGTTAACATTATCACAAATTTGAAAACTAACTGAAGAATGCGAAGAATTCGATCCACGATAAGGTAGCGTATGCAAACTAGACGACTTTGTGTTATTGGTGTTGTTGTTGCTGTTGTTGGTGTTATTGTTGCTGTCAATGTTATTGATATTATTCTCACACGGTAAACTATCATTTTTTTGTATTTTATGATTTTTAGCTACATCACCAGCCTCTTCATCATTTTGACATTTATTGAAGAGTACACCTTTTGGCGCTGCTTTCACTCTCTCTTGCATTTGTAGCGTTGGCTTCGATTCACATGAAAGACTTGCTGCTTTCGACTTTTTACGTCGTGTATTATAGAATACAGGTCGAAAGATATGCGAGAATAACTTTTGTGATTCACAACTTGTTCTAATATTCGATGGAAGACTAGGTCGTGGTCGATAACTTGAACTATTGTTACGATGAATGCTTAGACGATAATTTGAAAAATTTCGCAGATTCATTCTAGGATGATAATTGTGCAGGGTACTTGTTCCAGCCATTTCAGAGTCTTCTACATCATCGTAATGATTCATTGATCTAGTAGCCCATTCTGGAATGTAAATACAATGGAGACCATTGTCTCGAATACATCGATACGGCCAAAATGTACGTACAAAATGTCGACGAAATTTTCGACTAAATATGTAGTAGGGTAAAAGATTGATTGCAGAGTTAACAACAATTAGTAAATTTCCGATTTCATTTAACAGAAACCATGACATTCCACTGCCAGCCTCTAGCGTAATCAAACCCCAGGCAATATGACTGACTGCAGCTGGAAGCTGAAACAGAAGAAGAAAATAAAAATACGCTGAAGTATTAAATTAGTAGGTATTGGTAAATAAAAATGTATTTATAGCAAAATTTATACTACCTGTAAAATATTCACTCCATAACGCAAGCCGAATTAACAGCTTTATAAAATACTAGGGATGTCCAAGTATTGGTTCCTAGGGATTTAATTGATTGGTTACAGAGAGCTGTTAGAGAACTACCACGGAGTACTGGACAGCTGTTTCATCCTAGCCTAAGACTCTTCACAGCACGCACCCACCACCAGGGTTCGAACCCACGACCTCCTGATTACAAGGCTAGAGAGCTCGTAGACCATTAAGCCACCGGGACCAGATTCAATGGCCAGCCCATGAATTCCAGCTTATTCCAATTCACGACATAGTGCGACCACTAGTCAATGTCTTCTGCGAGTATTTGTCCTCATACCTGACCTGCTGCACCCTACTGTCGTGAACTGGAAGAAGTTGGAATTCATGGGCTGGACATTGGATTGGGTCCAAGTGGCTTGATGGTCTATGAGCTCGCTAACCTTGTAATCAGAAGGTCGTGGGTTCGAACCCTGCCGGTGGGTGAGTACTGCTGAAGAGTCCCAAACTAGTTGCATAATGCAGCTATCCAGTACTCCTTGGTGGTTCCTCAATGGTTTTCTAACTGATATCATATCATAGTGAAATCCTGTAACTGGTTATATTATTATCGCCTTGGGTTCTAAAACGAAACTGGGGCTTCAATAGCAAATCTCCATTTCATTCTTCTTTAGCTGGCTCCACTTTTGCCCATCAGCTTACACTTTCTCTTCATACCATCTCCTCTGTATCACCGTTGACCACACGCCCAACTCTCTGCTTCCTATTTGGGTCCATTCGAAGACTTACATTGCGCGCGATTTCACTCAAAGGTCACATTAGCGTTTATCCAATCAGTCTTCATTTCCTTGGGTATATTTGTTCAGCAATACGTTCTTGGTTGGTTGGTTGGTTGGTTACCAGAGTTAATTCTTGCTAATCGCTCCTGGATAACTGATCTTCAATGTGGAATGAAGGCATCTGTTGATAAATGTCTGAAGACTGTTAGAAATTCTTTTGGTGACACTAGAGCCAAGTTTATGAACCATATAGAGACAGTGACTTGGCATTATTGGTGAAAATCTGAATCTTGACCTTCAAGCTGAGTACGGCAGATCTCCACAACGATTTCGCATTTATGAAGGCCTACTTTACTTTTAAGATCTATGCTGGCTTTGACGTCCTTATCTATGGCGTCTGTAATTGAAACGATCCTGTTCATACAGCTGAAGGCTGTGACTTCGTTCAAATTTCTCAAATTTCCCTTGTGTAATTTCAGATTTATGTAATAAATCTTCTCTTTAAGTATTTTCATTGAAAAATTGTATCAATTTTGGGAGGATTGCATAAATATTTCTATAGGCAACCTACACCCTCTTATTCTCAGCTTAAACAAATTAAATTAACACGCTATTCGAATACATATGGATAGCGTGAAACAAGCTATTAATGTCTAACGATTCACTTTTTTCTCTCTCTCTCTCAAGAATGAGAAGAAAATAGAAACAGATTAAGGTTATGAATATATGGGAAAATATTCTATGCTTTATTAGAGAGAATGATAGCATTACAATGTTATGAATGTAGATTACTTACTACTGAACAAAGATTGTGAAGTTGTATAAATGAGTGAATCTACATCGATATTATATCAAATTTTATGCAAATCAGAATGCCTTTGAATAACTTATCAAATAGTTGAATATTGTGACTTAATTTTATTGCCAATTATTATTACTACTACTACTAATACTACTGATTATCGGCTTATTCAAACAGTGTCCCGCTGCAGTGTTTTAGAGACAGTAAAAATGATTGCATTTCTGATTAACTTAGGATTAAGGCAAGATTTATTTCTTTTGTGCATAATTTCAACTAAACCGATGAAGTATAAGTTCTGATGATATTAGATGGTTGGAGGCAGTCGGCAGGAAGCCTCGCCTGGCCTAAGTTTCATGCCAGTTGGCACTCACCAGTCAGTCAGCAAGGAGTATCTGCAACCTTGAAGGAAATCATGTCCCTTCAGAGATCGAACACATTTGATGAATATTTAACTATTAAAAAAAGTATATTAATAATCTGCTCGTTATCATTTCTAAGCATTTTAGATAAAAGCTTTGCCATCAAGCCCTCATAAACGACCTGGTACGGTCGAGGGTGAGTAGACTTTGATCATCCTCGCGAAACACTCTCATGTAGCCATGCGTTTATATAGCCTTCCTATGCAAAGTAAGTCCTATTTACACTGCCTACAAGGGGCGTCTAGGGTGTTTCTTACAAAATTGGAAAGCCGAATAGGAACATGCAGGTCTATCTAGGGGAGCTGGAGAACCTTAATTACAAAATCATGGTGTACATTAGCTACAGAATCCAATTAGACCGTAATGCGTATGCACCTGTTCTGGTCACCAAAAACTCACCACTGCTGTTTTGTGTATATGACTTCAAGTCAAAGACTCATGGGGTGGGATTGGCCCCTTAAGACAACTACCTCCTTCAATCTGGACGTTCGAGCAGTATCCCAGCCGTCTCAGAAACTACGAAATTTTGTTTGGCGCATCATTTGGTGCTCATAATGTACAAAGTTAGTAGGTTATTCAACAGTTTTATGTTGCACAACCTGAACATTTAAAGTTATTTCTATTATCAGAATTCAGAACACACCTGTGAAGTTATTATTTTTTATTATTTTATTATAGCTTGATTCCACACAGTATTTTTGGTACAAGTATGAAATTTTCAGCATGTGATATCTGTAGCCCAAATTTAGCAGGCCGACCATAGATATCAGGTGTGCGTCGGCGGGGAATCGAACCTCGGACCATGTGCACGGTCGGCGAGAGTCCTAACCACTCATTCAGGTATGGGACTCACTCCTATACCTCTCTAAGCCAGTAATACGACTGGTAGAGAGGGAAGGCTGGGTATGTGGCTAGCAACCCCATCCCGTAAAAAATAAACACCACTGCTACCAAAACGTCAAGCCTCTAGCTTGAAGCCACCCTATGTTCCACTGAGAACGTAAAGGAATACACACACAAACACAAATCTTTTCGTTATAAGTGATAATAGCTATCTGTATCCACACTTGTCACATTCTTAAAATTCATTCTGTTTTCAAGAAAAATGTTTACATGTTTATCCATTAACAACTTTTAAAATCGATTACTTCTCCTTTTCTGTATCTATCTAACCTCAAATTGTAAACAAAAGGATGTGAAAGATCCATTTATGAAAAGTTGAGTCTTGTAGTTAAATATGGCTTTCATTTTCTTAATATTAGCAAATTCAAATGCATGTTGTGTCTTTCTTTCAAAAGACTTTAGTTTCCACCACGTGATCTTACATACTATCCTTTATCCAGCATATGATAATTCAATGCAGACATTTTTGTTCAGAGCGGAGTTAACTACAGCATTCGATGTTAACTATATTCTTAAAAACTTCCGAAGAAAATGGAGATGAGTCGGGGACACACTTAGGAGGCGGTTGAGTGACAACACACACTAGGCAGGCCATCGAATAGGAAACGATGAGTTGAGTGTGGGTTAGAGAGTGATACAGAGGAGATCGTGTGAGAAGATGAGGGCTTATAGGCACTAATGCAGCCAGCTAGAGAGGAATGCAGAGAACAGAAGGAAATAGAGGTGTACTTTTGAAACCTGATGTGCTACTCGGTAAAAGGAAAAATATTCATAACAATGTAATTTAATAGGGTTCAATAAATGTCCACCACCCCCAACCCAAAAAGGTATCAGCAAGTATTCAATGATTTTGCTAATGAAAATAATTTAACTCTGTCAGGTCTCGTATTTAATCTGTTGTACACAAAGCGAGCAAAACTACAAGTTTCTAAATTGAAAGTTTTATTGTATCATTTTCTCTTCGCCTTAAAAGTACATTTAGAAATGCAAGTTAATTGTTCACTGTAGGACTAGTATGAATGCTACTACGGACTTTTATTATATCACAGTCTGTTCATTTCTGTCAAATAAGGCAATAATATCACTTTAGTCGACTGTTTCACTAATTTTTTATGAAAGAATGTATCCTATGGCAGTGAATATAAAGAGATATTGTTTTTAAAAGAATGGATACTGAACAAAGAGTACTCTTTTCGATAACTTCATCATCAGGCTCTACAGTTATATATACATTATAGTGAATGAATGAATTAGTGTTATGAACAACATTAATGCTGTTTAAATAACATCGAATCAATAATATTGATAGATTACAGCTCAATAGCATCAACATAAAAATAAACTGAATGTCAGAAAAATTAGGAAAGATAATATTACAAATTCATGAATTTATAGTCTCTACTGAAGGCCGGCCAGGGCAGTAGTAGTGGCTGGACTTGCTTCTTTTGAACACAGAGCACTGGTTGTTTGAGGCGAATTGCAATAGCCTCTGCTGTTTGGAGCATGCGGTGCTTCGATGATTTTGGCAATTTATTAGGCACCCGGTAGATTATAGAGAAGGATTCTTCCACGCTGGCTTTGTGGCCGGTTTGCACCAGATGGTCCAATATCGAACTGTTAATGGTTTTAACTACACCTTTACTTAGCCATAGTGGGATATGTTCTCGAGCACGAAAAATCAAGTTCCTAGAGCAACGGCCAATATAACTCGCTCCACAAGCGCAGTTGAATTGGTAGATACAATTTGAAGTGGCTAGTCTAGGTACTTCATCTTTCAGTCGAGGTAGCACCATCGGTCGTGTAGAGAATAAGACGTGTAGTTCGCCAGCATTAAAAGTTCTTTGAACTGATTTTCTTAATTTCCTCGTAATTATCTCACTTGGTATATCGCCCTTGAATTGTAGTCGTATATAAAGTGGCTTCTTGTTTACAGATAGTGAGTAGTCCTTTTTCGCTTTCTTTGTCATGTGTTTCTTGATAAATTTTTCGGGATAGCTATTTTCGATCAAAGTATCACATACAATGCTTAATTCATCTTCAATTACTTCTTCTGAGCATATAGCTCTAACCCTGTGGCTGAGGGTCTTCACTAAATGCTTTTTGTACTTGATAGGAACGAAGCTGTGAAAATGTGTATATTGTCCTGTCCAAGTACTTTTTCCATACAAATTTCTTTTTATGCTACCATCTGGTTTTCTTGTAAGTAGGACATCCAGGAATTCCTCTTCGCATGTGAATTTCATAGCCGAAAGTCACACCATACTGGAAAGAGTGAAACATGCCGCGGATCAAAGAATGTGCCCGAAACAGACTGGATTTGTGAAAGAACAAGTTATACTCTAAATAAATTTAAACATTATTTATCATCATCCAACGGAATATAGGAGGCGATCAGCTCTGTACCTCAGCTCCATCCATATTCGGAAAGGTTTTTGACGGCGT